CTGCTTTCGTCGCTTTTGCCCTTCACGGAGGCCTCCGCAACGTGCGGCTAGCCGGCCCCCACAACGAGCTGCTTCTGAGAATCCCACACAGCTAGCTAGCTAGCTAGCTGGCTAGCTAGCTAGCTAGCTGGCTGGCTAGCTAGCTGGCTAGCTAGCTAGCTAGCTAGCTGGCTGGCTGGGTAGCTCGCTGGGTAGCTGGTTGGGTGGCTAGTTGGGCAGCTAGCCTCTGGCTAGCTGGCTAGCTGGGTGGCTAGCTGGCTAGCTGGGTGGCTAGCTGGCTAGCTAGCTAGCTGGGTGGCTAGCCGGCTAGCTAGCTAGCTAGCTGAGTGGCTAGCTTGAGGGCTAGATTTTCGTCAGCTGGCTGGCCAGCTAGCTAACGGACGAGGGAACTGGCGAGCCAGCTAGCTAATGAGCTGGCTAGCCAGCTAGCCAGTTGGCTAGCTAGCTAGCTAACATGCTGGCCAGCTGGCTAGCTGGCCAGCTAGCCAACTAGCTAGCTAGCCAGCTGGGTATGGGCAGCCAGCAACTAGCTGGCGAGCTAGCGAATTTGCTGCGAGCAGTGCCCAGCTAGCTGGTCAGCTAGCTAGCTAGCTAGCTAGCCAGCTAGCTAGCTAGCCAGCTAGCTAGCCAGCTAGTGAGCTGGCTAGCTAGCTGGCTGGCTAGCTAGCTAGCTAGCTAGCCAACTTAGGGACTACAGGGATCTGGGCCGGCCCGAAGTTGCTTGCTGCTGCAGCTAGCCAGCAGCTAGCTGAGCTGCTAGCTGGGCTGCTAGCTAGTAGCTAGCTAGCGGCTAGCTAGCTATGAGCTAGCTAGCCAGCAGCTAGCTGAGCTTCTAGCTGGCAGCTAGCTGAGCTTCTAGCAGGCAGCTAGCTACCCAGCAGCTGGCTAGCTAGGAGCTATGTAGCAGCAAGCTAGCAGCTAGCTGGGGGCCCTTGAGAAGGGAGGAAGGAGAGATTTTGTTTTGGCTCTAAATTTGAAGTTGAGGGAGAAGCTGCTGCTGCAGCAGTTGCAGCAGCAGCAGCAGCAACAGCAAGTGGCTGCTGCTGCTTCCGCTCCTGCTGCTGCTGCTTCCGCTCCTGCTGCAGCTGCTGCTGCGTGTCGGTAGGCGGTTGGACAAATTCGTCTTCTGTGCTTTAGGTTTTAGGATGTAGCTTTAAGGGTTTAGGGTTTAGCTTCTAGGGTTTAGGGTTTTTTAGGGTTCAGGGTTTTCTAGGGTTTAGGGTTTATTTAGGGTTTAGGGTGGTGGGCTTCTGCACACTGGTTTGCTGCTCAGGGCCAGCTAGCTAGCTGAGAGGCCCTCATAGCCTTGAAGGGTTAGGGTTTAGGGTTTAGGGTTTGGGGTTTAGGGTTGCAGCTGGCAGTGGTGGACCAGTGGACCTCCGGCAGGCGGAGATACGCAGCAGCTGCTGCTGGCAGCAAACGAACTGCAGCAGCAGCAGCAGCAGCAATTGCTGCTGCAGTTATGAAGTGGCTTCTGTTTTTTGTTCAAATTTCATCAGTTTTCTGTGTTTGCTGCCGGGGTTTTGTGCAGCAGCAAGTGGCCGTTCAGGGTTTAGGGTTTAGGGTTTAGGGTTTACGGGAGCGGCAGTGGGGCCCTCAGCCTTCCGCCCCACAGGGGCCCCCCACTGCATGCAGGGAAAATAAAACTCTTAATTAGTGCTTTAGATAGGAAAAGCTCTTTCATTTGGTAATTTAAACCCTAATTAAGGGTTTGGCGGCGAGGCTTTAGTGTTTGTGGAGCCCTAGGGTTTAGGGTTTAGGGTTTAGGGTTTCGAGATTCGGCTGGAGAGCTTCAACCTTTCCCTCGCACCTCGCGATCTCTCCCAGACCTTGCCTAGGGCCTACAGTGTAGGGTTTAGGGTTTAGGGTTTAGGGTTTAGGGTTTGAGAATGGGGGCCAGCCGGCGCTCGAAGTGGAAAAAGGGCGAATTGACTGCAGCAGAAAAGTTCTTCGATGAAAAACCCTTAAGAGAAAAGGCGCAGCAGCTAGCAGCAGCAGACCAGCTCTTTGTCCTCGACGCCGAAGGTAAACCCTAAACCCTAAACCCTAAACCCTAAACCCTAAACCCTAAGGGCTTCACGGGCTCCTCGCGACGCAGCCAGCGCACAGGCCGGTGCGCCTGGGAGCAGCGGCAACTAAACTCTAAACCCTAAACCCTAGGAATAATCCCAAACCCTAAACCCTAAGGCTAACCCTAAACCCTAAACCCTAATTTTAGCCCTGAATCCTAGACCCTATAGCCTGGACTTGGCCCTAAACCCTAAGTCTCGAGCAGCAAACCTCAGACCCTGAAATCTAGGAAGGTGGCTTTGTCGCCCATTTTGTAAACCCTAAACCCTAAACCCTAAACCCTCAGCATGCAGAAGAGCCAGAGCCAAGCCACCGCCAAACCCTTTGCTGTGGGAAGCAACTCGATTGCTGCTGCTGCTGCTGCTGCTGCTGCTGCTGCTGCTCAGGCGCCGATGACACATCACACTTTTCACGGGGGGCGCGGCGTTTGCTGCAGCGGCAGCAGCTCGTAGTCGAAGGCAGCAGCAGCAGCGGCAGCAGCAGCAGCAGCAGCAGCAAGAAGCCGCTGCTGGAAGTGGCGACGCAGGCCCACAAGAAGCAGCTAGAGAGGGTCATAAAAGGCAGCAAAAAGAGAGCAGAGACAGCAGCAAGAATCAAAGTAAACCCTAAACCCTAAACCCTAGGTCCTCGAAGCTCAGGGAGGCCACAGAGGGCCTAGGGTTTAGGGTTTAGGGTTTAGGGTTTGAGGTTTGTGTGAGAGCACAGGCAAAAAGGACAGCAGAAGAATGCGTCGACTTGTGGGAAGACGAGCCACTGGATGCGATAGTCAACAGTCAGTAGGGTTTAGGGTTTAGGGTTTAGGGTTTAGGGTTTGGATTGCCGGTGGGTAGAGAAAGCGGGAGCTTTACTGTTTGTTTTGCTGTTTGCTTTGAGTCCAGAAAAACGCAAAGCAGCAGCAGCAGCAACAGCAGCAGCAGGAGCAGCAACCCCCGCTGCAGCAGCAGAAGCAGCAGCAGCAAGCAGCAGCAGCAGCAAACGCCGGCGCTGCCGCCTGAGGGAGCTGCTGCAGCTGGTGCCGCCGCTGCTGCTGCCCGAAGAAAGGT